TAAGATCAGCAAGTTAAGATCACATGCAAGCAAGCTAGAACAGATGAAAGAAAAGAAACTGAAGAACAAGAAGACCAAAGAATACCTAATTAAAAACTACCACTTAGAAACAAGGAAGATCAAGGAAGCACAGGAAATAATAAAGCAGCAAAAACAGCTATAGCCAGTAAAATCAGTAGATACGAAGCTCGAATTACAAATTATAGGCAGAAACTCCAATTTCAATCCAATCAGAAACGTTTCGCCCAAATGTTGGAGATGTGATAGTTTGGATGCTACTTATTTTCATATCTGGTGGACTTGCAGAAATATAAAAGCTTTTTGGATTAAGATTTGGTGGAACATTCAAAAGATTTTTAGGAGAAAGATAAAGCTTACTCCACAATTATTTTTATTGGGTGTTATTGTAGATTGTGATGCTAAAGAAACTAATTTGATGTTGAATTTGATAACAGCTGTAAGGTTATTGGTAGGGCAATATTGGAAGAAGGATTTTTTGCCTACTATAGAAGAATGAATGCTTAAAGTCTCAAATTTAGCAGAAATGGCTAAGATTTCTGCTTATTTGAAGGATCATTCACAAGAAAGATACATTTCGGTTTGGAAAAGATGGATAGATTATATTCAGAATAAATATGGGACTAAAAAGTTCCATTTACTTTATGAGTAAATTTTAGAGTATTATTATTATCAATAGTTTACTATAGTGGAATTTTTATTAGTTTAATTATTATTTTTAGTATTAATATTGTTTAACAATTTGGATATTGTATTGTTCAAGAATTAGGATATTAACTTGTTTATATTATTATGTTTGTTTTTAATTTGTTTATTTTTATGTTAAAGGGGAGTTAAAGCGCATTATGGACTTGGTTATTTACATAGTTGGTTAATGTTAGTTAGAGTATGATTATTATATTTCTTACCCTGTACTCAGCTCTGGGAAGTGGGGGAGGGAGAGGGGGAGTTTAGGGTGGGTGGGGTTTGAGGTGTATATTGTAACTTTTATAAAACTTTTCAATAAAAAAAAGAAACGTTTCTACCAATCCATCAATGGAGAAACTGCAATGAATCAATACCTAACAAGGAAGAAACAGTGCAGTTCTGGAAGCAGGTATGGGATAACCCAAAGAAATAGATGTGGCTTGGTTAAAAGAGGTGGATGCAAATAAAACAGAAGTTGAAATGAAAGAACTAGTAATAACAACAAAAATGGTAGAAAAAAGAGCAAGGAAGATACACTGAAATTAGTATATCAGGAAGGCTTACTAACTACTGGAGAGACCAAACTGGCCTACAAGAAAGATCAAATGAAGAACAGAATAGAAGCATGGGAAGACAAAGCACTACATGGCCAGTATATTAAAAAAAATAGCTGGGAAAGCAGATAATAACAAGATCTGGCAATGGCTAAGAGCAGGAAAGAAAGAAAGAGACCGAGGGACTAATTCTGGCTGCACAAGACCAAGCCTTCAGGACAAATGCATATAAAGTCAAAATTGAGAACAGACAGTAAGTGCCGCTTATGCAAAGAAGCTGAAGAAACAGTGGACCACCTGGTAAGCTCTTGCAAGAAGATCGCACAGACTGATTACAAGCAGCGGCATGACAAAGTAGCAATAATGGTGCATTGGAAGATCTGCAAGAAATATCATTTACCTGTAAGCAAGAACTGGTGGGATCATAAAATAGAGAAAGTCATAGAAAATGATAAAATTAAACTGCTCTGGGACTTCAGAATTCAAACAGATAAGCACCTGCAACATAACACCCCAGACTTAACAATTGTCGATAAGAAAGACAAAAAAGTCTGGATAGTGGACGTGGCAGTGCCTGGAGATAGCAGAATAGACGAGAAAGAACTGGAGAAGATAACAAAATACAAAGACCTACAAATAGAAATAGAAAGACTGTGGCAAAAGCAAGCAAGGGTAGTACCAATAGTCATAGGCTCCTTGGGTGCAATCCCGAAACAACTGGAGCACCACTTGAACACCATTGGCATTGACAAATTCGCTATTAGTCAATTGCAAAAGACGGCCTTACTAGGAACTGCTTCCATCCTGCGACGATATCTGTAATACCATCAAACATCCACATCTTCCTATCCCAGGTCCTGGGTAAGGACTCGATAGGTAGACAAAATGCCAAATCCAGTCTGAACATCTGGCTGACTGTGCGATGATCAATAATAATAATAATAACAACAACAACAATAATAATAGTTGGAAGGGATCTTGGAGGTCATCTAGTCCAATCCCCTGGTCAGGCAGGAAACTCTATATCATTTCAGACAAATGGCTGTCCAGTCTGTTTTTAAAAACTTCCAGTGTTGGAGCATTCACAGTTTCTGGAGGCAGGTTGTTCCACTGGTTAATTGTTCTCACTGTCAGGAAGTTTCTCCTTAGTTCTCGATTGCTTGTCTCCTTGATTAGTTTCTATCCGTTGCTTCTTGTCCTGCTTTCAGGCGCTTTGGAGAATAGCTTGACTCCCTCTTCTTTGGGGCAGCCCCTGAGATACTGGAAGGCTGCTATCATGTCCCCCCTGGTCCTTCTCTTCATTAAACTAGACATACCCAATTCCAGCAACCGTTCCTTGTATGTTTCAGTCTCCAGTCCCCTAATCATCTTTGTTGCTCTTCTCTGCACATTTTGGTTCCCAAGCCCAATTGAAATCATGAGAAATATCTTCACCCATAAGGGATACTACATAAATTCTCAGTAACTAATTAAGATACAGTACCTCAAAGCAACATTGCCAGTACTGGAAGCAGTTGGGCAGAATGGCTGGCCAATAAAGATAATTGTAGACCTCTTGCAAAAGGACTTGGACCTCACAGCAGGGATTGCAACAGTTATTGTGCTCAGCCTGAAACTGGGGGGGGGGGAGAAGAAGGGTTATCTTCCTTTTTGATATCTTAAAGCAAGCACTAATCTCTGGTGACAAGCTTGTTACTGGTTAAAATATCAAGACTACTATAAAAATCTGTCTCTGACAAATTTATAATTTTATTTTTGTTTGAGCTATTGGATTATCAGCTCACCATATTATTTAAACTTGATTGATCATGTGACATTAAGTTGGTGTCAATTCCATCCACATAGATGGTTTTTTACCATGAGAAATTTAAAGTTAGTGTGAAACACATAAAATTTTGCTTTGTGAACTTTTGAAATACTACATTAGGCTTATGATGTGTGAATGTCAATGTACCACTAAGTGTTCATTGAAAAATGAAAGTTAATTAGACTGTATGTTATTTTTGTCATTTTAGTTCCTTTTTCTAAATTTTTTTTCATGAAAATAAGCTTTCACAAATTCTTTTAAATCTGAATTCCTTTATGAGTATACAATTGTTGTGGTGGTTATAATGATGTCACAAGTAGAAGATTGTGACTTCCTTTATTACCTACATCCAGTTATCCATTGCCTTCCCTTCTTCTTCTGCTACTACTGCTTCTATGCCAAGTATAATCCATGCCCAAAATATGTACATGTTTGCTTGGATCCCTTTTGGGGAGCAGTCATTCCTTGTTTCATCTAGGACTAGTTAATTCTCTGTAATTAATTAGAATGTTCCAAAGCATCATATCAAGTACTGGAAGTAGTTGGCAGTCCATGGTATTCTTAGTAACATCTCAAAATCCATAATTCAAAGTATCTTTCTCCTCTCTCTTATATTTTCCCAGTGGCTAATTTTCATAGCAATGTGTTGCCACTGAAAACAACCAGTTGTCACAAAATATTTTTATTCTTTAGGATCTTATCTAAATTTGACATTGCCTTCCTGCATAGAATTAATTACCTCTTTTTTTTCCAGCATACTGTCCCATGTTGTCTATACATGAGCCCAAACAAAACTATCTACCACTTTTAGTTATTTGCCATTCACTGGCTGACAATGCCTTTTTCTTAATATTTAACATTAGCCCAGATATTTCATTTTCTATTTTTACTTTTATGAGTTCTAAATTTTGACTGATCATTGACTTTTCCCCTCCATGTATAGTTCTACTGCATTTTGTAAGATCTTTAAACTTTTCATAATATACATTCTCTTACATTTTTTGTCTTCAGGTTAGACATGGAAGCCTAACTTTTATACATTCATAATTCAGCCTTGAGTTGGACCAATTATGGAAGTCATGGGGATCAACATTTACTAAATTAGGTTTGCTAGCCACTGCCTCTGAAGGCCATCTGCTGGGAGCCTGGTAGGCTTCCTTGTAGAGTTGATTGATGGTTGTAAGAATAAATTGCTGGATTAGATGGACCAGTGTCTCTTCCAGCAGGGTACTGTTTATGTTTGAGCAAAAACATAAACCCCACTAGACTTCTATTTCCTATTTGACAGCTGTCTGTTGTCTCTTGTAACTCAGTTTCTGGTGGCATTGGTTTATAAATATATTCTACAAATGTTTCTGTCATAGTCATTCCATCTTCTTTTAAGCTTATTAGCCTCTTAACGTTCGTTCCACTGTCTCCAGTACTTTATCTTCAGTGGCTTACTGATTCAAAGAAATATCTTTACCTAGTGGGCTTGACCTTTTGCAGTTCAACTTTGACCAGATAAGACTAGTAGCATTCAGACTGAAATGTACTGGCATTAATGGACTGCAGATTACTTCCACAGGCCTTTTTTCTTCTGTTCCCTTGTTTCCCAAAAGATTTTTCTCATGTCTTTTATTTTCCATTTCAGTGTGAAATGGTGGGTCATTAAATGCTTGAATTACCACTTCGGAGAATGATCTCAGTCTCTGAAACCATAACATTCAATAAATCAAGAAAGCAGGCATTTATAGATTTAAGATCAAAACAGGATAAAATCTATACAGTATCGAAATCTGCAACTATGCATACATAAATTCATGTGCATATGTACAACATTTTACACTTTGTGTTTCTTTATGGTCTTGTTTAGTAGAGTAATACTAGTTAAAGACTTCTAATTCCCTAAGCACTTATAAAAATCTTGTTCATTGTTTTTTCATCATTTATAGGGTTCAGAAATGTTCCTGCAAATAGCAAGATGTCTAATTAAGAAGCTTTGAAGAAAAGATGACAAAGCACCGGTTGCCATAGAAATGGAACTCGATAGATGCCCCAGATAGCAGCCCCAGATAGACATACTGAAAGATTCATAGCTGTTCATGGAAGCTAATAAGAGTAAATAAATGGTAACAGGAAAGAGTGGGGTGAGGAGTGGAGGGAATTTGCAAAATATTCCACATGTTCTGGCCAGCAGTGAAAAAAAGGTAGACCTAGATTACTGAAGACATACTGTCAAGGGCTCTCTAACATTTGAAGCTTGAGTGTTCACCCCTCAGATGTCATCGTGATACATCTATCTATCTATCTATCTATCTATCTATCTATCTATCTATCTATCTATCTATCTATCTATCTATCTATCTATCTATTCACCTATCTCAAATGCATGACTCTGGACTCTATGCAACAATTAAAGGCATCCATGTGATATGTTTCCATAGTGTACAAATGGCAAGCCATATATCATGATACTGTCCCACAAATTATGCAAAAATACATACATTGTTTTGCATTATGTAATTGATACCCTTTATGTAATACTTGATTTTATATAAAGTTCATTATGGCATGTGATATCTGTGCAATAAAAGCTATTCTAATAACCTGTGACAGCTGAATAGTGAACTACAGTATCTTAGTGATGATTTCAGCACCCAGGAAATGTCCAGTAATTAGCTTGTACCAACAAAGTCTTGAGCAGACCAAAATGTTTTGAAGTCTTGACCTGAGAGCTTTGGCTTCAGCTCAAGGACTGCAGTTAACTACTGTCTTCAATGACACAGAGGTAACATAAACAAGAAATAAGGCACCAGCAGGTAAGAGCATAGTAGTTTGGTGAATGAACATAAACTTTTTCTTTCTATTATAAAGCAAGTTTCTCCTTTGACTTGCTCTATAGGATTCCAATCATCTCTTTCCAGTATTACAGGAATTAGTTATAATGACCTTTAGTACATTGGGGGGCACTCTTGGCAATATTTTTTGTTGAAATAGGTCTACTTGAGCCAGGTAATTAAATGGGTCAGCTCTTTAACAAGGAGAGTATGATATTAAATTATGTACAGTAAATATTTTTAGAAGGTAAAACTCCTAAAGAGAACTTATTGATTTATGGAAAACTACCAGGTTGTTGTTTGTGATTGGGATTCAGAATTTAAAATAAACTTAGATAAAATATATTAATTCAAGGCAGCAGACAGGCTATTAAGGAAAGGTCCCATAATTCTGCAGTCACCATACTTATTTGCAGTTGTGCACACCATAGAAAAAAAATTGATCACATATCACTAAGCTCACACACTAGTTTCTCATGTAGCTGTCATACTGATATTGGGCATTGTAGAAAATATTGCTTAGCAATTCATTTTTGGAAGGCTTTGCCATTGGCAGTAACAGCAAGGCTGTAAAGTCTTAGCTGATAAAACTGATGGTGAAGTCAAGATGGACAAATATATTGCTAATATAAATAGCCAGCAGTACTGCCAAAACCTGAAATCATTAGTGGAAAATTAGAAGCCTCGCTGCAGTTCTGCAAGGAGAAAGGCAGTATGAACTTTGATGCTGCTCTTAATTTGAGAGGAAAGGAATGCTTAGGAGATGAAAGAGATAGCCAGATGTTAATTTCTACTTTACAAATATGGCATTTGATTGAATGTCACAGTCCTTGATTTTCAAAAATAAAAGTAGAAAACCATATGGTGAGCAAAGGCAGCTTAAGTCAGAGGCTTCCCTAGGCAGCAGAAAAACTCAGATTCAGGTCATCTAGGATCTGAAAATCAAATTTTGGGGCTTTGTTTGAGCAGAAATGTATCCATTGTTTGTAACTTGTTTTGTGGCTCTGAAGTTGATGCTTCTTTCTTTCTTTTTTTGCTGTTGGGAAAGAGGAAGGTATATATATCAGTTTAGATCTCCTGAAGATAGCAATAGCAATAGCACTTAGACTTATATATCGCGTCACAGTGCTTTACAGCCCTCTCTAAGTAGTTTACAGAGTCAGCATATTGCCTCCAACAATCTGGCTCCTCATTTTACCGACCTCAGAAAGATGGAAAGCTGAGAATCAACATTGAGCTGCTCAAAATTGAACTCAGAACTGAACTCCTGAAGTGAGCAGTGAATTAGCCTGCAGTATTGCATTCTAACCACTGTGCCACCATGCCACCAAGATGGGTACAGTATAAATGTGATTGGCATATTGTCCTCACAACAAGGGTGCTTTCCTTGGTCATCCATTACTTAAAATCAGCGATACTAACTAAGGGTGATGGTGGTCATCATCAACTGGAGAAATAGGTTTGGGGAAGCCAGTCTTAGATAATAAGATTAGAAGAAAGAAGTAGATACTTTCACAGAGAGAGAGAGATGGAGATGGAGGTAGAGTTTGGAACCTAGAAAATGCTGATGTCCTTATCAAAAGACTAGGGGCTCAATTAAACATGAAAATAATAGTGTAATTTTCTGACAATTTTCAAGCATGGTTTGGTTGTTTAGTGAATAGCAGCCATTGGAAAGTGGGAATTTAATCCTTTGTTAAAACATAATCAAAATCAAAATCCTCCCTATATAGGAACAAAATATCTTTGGTTTCATAGTTGCAAAATAAAGAAGTAAATGTTAGCTTTTTGCTTAATGGCCATAAGGCATACTTCTAAGAAATAGTGCATATGGTAATAATGCCTCTATGTAATTATACAAATGCCATATTCATTTGGGATATTTGCATCTATGTCCATATGGTCCTTATGGGGAAAGGCTGTAATTTATTATTCTTATTGTTCATCACATAGTCAGCCATTTAGCACTTTTTGTCCATCTATAGAGTCCTTCCCAAGGATCTGGGATAGGCAGATGTGGATGTTTAATGGTCTTAAAGGTACCCTCACAAGATGTAAGCTGTTCCGAGCAAAGCTGTCTTTTGCAATTGACTGATGGTGATTTTGTTGATGCTGATGGTGTTCAGATGGTGCTCCAGTTGTTTTGAGATTCAGTCTAAGGTGCCCATTATTATTGGTATTACCTTTGCTTTCTTTTGCCATTGTCATTCTATTTCTATTTGCAGTTCTTTGTATTTTATTACCTTCTCCAGTTCTTTTTCTTCTATTCTGCTGTCTCCAGGTACTATCACGTCTGTCATCCAAATTCTTTGCCTTTCTTGTTGACAGTCTGGAGTATTATGCGACTATCTGCTTGAATTCTAAAATCCCAGAGCACTTTAGTTTCATTTTCTACTACTTTCTTTATTATATGGTCCTACCAATTCTTGTTTGCAGGCAATGGTATTTCCTGCAGATCTTCTAATATACCATTTTTGCTACTTTGTTATGCTGTGTAATCTTCTTGCAGCAGCTAATCAGGTGATCCACTATTTCTTCAGCTTCATTGAAAAGATGGTACTTTCTATCTGTTGCTGTCTTCTCAATTCTGGCTTTGTATGCATTTGTTTTTGGTCTATTGTAGTCAGAATTAGCCCCTCTGTCTCTTTCTTCAACTTTCATGCTCTTAGCCATTGCCAGATCTTGTTTTTATGTGTTTTCCTTGCTTTTAATATACTGGCCATGTAATGTTTCGTCTTTTCTGTTCTTCAATTGGTTTTTCTTGTAGGCCAGTTTGGTCTCTCCATTACTGAGCTGTATAGGTTTCTGTAATTTACATCTCAACATGTTTTTTATGGAAGAGATACTCTTTGTCTGACTCCCCTGATGAGGCTTGTCCAGTATGGCATACCCAGTCAGCTTTCTCAGAGTACACAAGCCCCACAACCCTATCAAGGTTAATCACTGACAGGCAGGACTGCAATGAAGTAGCATTGGGTTCTATTCAATAATTTAAGGCAATATTCCTTTTCCTTCTTTTCTTTACTCTTGCAAGGAGTATTCTTTATTGTTATTGAGTTAATCATTTCATTGAGGCGTTCTCAATAGAAAAGTTAAAAATCTCACCTGGTGCAGCGTGTGGTGCTATATACTCTGTAGGGAGTCATCACTTTGTTATTCAAAGACCAGGTCTTAATTTTGCAGTGTAAGATTATTTCTTGTCTGAATCATGAAATACTATCTGCTACGAACAAAGATTTAATTTTAAAAAGCTCATCACATCTCTTTAACTGGAAAAGATTCTTCTTATCTTGACTAACAATTACTGAAGCCAAAAAAGGAACAAAAAGATCTACACTGTGTATAGATGATAGTTTTTCATAAACACAAAAGAAATATAATCAAATTGTCACCAGCAAGAACATCAATTTCTATTTCCCATCTTTCTCTTTGTACTCTCTGGTCATTTCCAAAGTCTTCATTTTCAGCAGTTTGGGTGAAACACCAAACAGCTACCGTATTTTCTGGTGTATAAGACGACTTGGCGTATAAGACGACCTCCAACTTTGGAAAAGATTTGCATGGTTAGAAAGTCGTCTTATATGCCGGAAAATACGGTATTTTCCAGCGTATAAGACGACTCGGCGTATAAGATGACCCCCGACTTTGGAGATGATTTGCATGGTTTAGAAACTTGTCTTACATGCCAGAAAATACGGTAAGTAGAGAATTAAACTAATATCATATTATGATATTCTGATTACTGTTCTTCTTATTACATCATATAGGTCTCTGGGTATGTATTTAATCCTTTCTTTCCAGAGATACCCAAACTAGAAGGATATTATATCAATCTTAAGAAGGTGCTCAAGGACATTAGAGATTTGCCCAGTAGAAAAATATAAAGTTTGGAAAAATGACTTGAAATGCATCATGTTGTAATTCTGTGATCTGTTTATATTGTTCAAGAAAGAGATAATCTGTTGTCTCTCAAGGACTCAGAGAAGGTTATTATTCTTCCAGTTGATTATCAATCCAGTTGAGCAAGCATCTTTATAGCTATTATGATATGTAAACAGTGAGAGAGTCTGCACAACCATAACATATATATCATTGCTGTGTCCTTATTCTAGCCCTTGAGATACTCGCAGCAGTGGCTATAAATCATTCACTTGTACATTTCTCCTGTCCTGCTATGAAGAAGCATGGCTAAATGGTCATGGTTCTGCCACTCATAGCATGGTAGATATGAAATTTAAGAAGAATCTGTGCTTTTAATCTGTCTCAAAAAAGAGCTGGATAATCAGTTCCATTTACATGTGCTTACTTTATTATCTCAAAAAATGAACCATTAATATGTCACCCCTTGGTTGTGGTTAAAAAGAGAACAAAAAGGTAATAATCAACCACATATAGCAAATAAGAATTTAAATAAAACAATTATAAGATCACTTAGGATTTTCACAGAAGGGAATGAAAATATCATCAATATTGGCAACAATATTAGAAGACCTTGAATGGTGAAAATATATACTAAAATTGGTGTAGTGC